GACTGGCAGTTCTATTTATTGGTATGAGAAAAGAAAACAAATAAAAGGTTAGGAAATTATTACTACATAAGACCAACATTGATGAAAATTTGGGAGAAATGGAAGAAGTGACAGGAAGGAGGAAGGGAACGGTAGGCATCTTCCGCACTTCCGCAGGCATAAAAAATTGGAAGAAGTGACAGGAAGGAGGAAGGGAACGGTAGGCATCTTCCGCAGTTCCGCAGACATAAAAAATTTGCTGAAAGACCGCAAGATGCCTCGGTCAAGTATAGGATAACAATCTATAATCTAGCAAGTAATAATAGGTAATTAATCTAGCAGGTGATAATAGGTAATTAATCTGGCAGATGATAATAGGTAATTAATCTAGCAGGTGATAATCTACTTTATTTTTGATTTTGTTGCAATTTTTGAATTTTATCTTGTTACGATTTTTTTTTTTTTTGGAACGATGTTGTGACTAACATTGGTATTGTTTCGTTTATCTAATTCATTTTATTGCCAAATGTTTTAAGGTGGTGAAAAGAAATGGAAATTTGCAACTCTCTATCACATTATACAAGATACTTTCAAGAATACACAAAGAATTTTTCATCTTAATTAATTTCTGATTATTTTTAAATTAAATAATGAAATTTAATTCGATATTATCATTACGCATAAATAGTATATTTGTAATAATATTTTGAATATTTTCTAAAAATTAAATAATTTTATCATAAAAAAAGAAGATGATTAACTAATAGCTATAATTAATTTACCATATCAGCGAAATGATTGATAGCTAATTCATAGGTTTCCTCATCACGTTCATAACGTTTATTATGTTGTTGTATTTTTTTCACATTTTTCAGATATATCATAAATCGTCGATATTCCAAATTTATTTCTTCATCACGCTTATCTTTAATAAATTATATTAATTAGAAGAAAAGCTGGAATTAATTAATATTTGAAATATTTTAAATTAATATTTAAAATATTTTAACCTTCAGTACTTTAACTTTTAACCTTTGAAAGGACAGATATTTGGTAATTTCAAAAATTATTTTGTTAAACTTGCTATATTTTCGTTTGTAAAGTCTATAGCCAGCATATTGTTGCATAAGATGTTTACTACCCAATTTTTTTTCCATCAATTTGATATATCTAAAAAAAAAAAAGAAAAAGAAATTATCACATTTTTATTTCAAATGTAATTTATGATTTTGTAGTTAAAATTTAATTCTATTTTTCTCCCTTATACAAGTATAAAAATAAAATTATATATTTTAGAAATTTACAACTTCTTTCTCTATTCAAGCAATAATTGATATCATTTTAATTAGCTTAGAAATTTAAACTTCCATTAAGCAGTAATTTGAAGTGAAATTATTCAGTGAATAAAAATTACAATTGTACTTACTTTGCATCATTTTTTACTGATAAGACATGAATGATTGCAGAAAACAGTGATAAAATAAAGAGGAGACGAAGAATGATGAAGTAACTTTTCATTGCTGATTTTGATAATACCTTTTGCAATTATTACATCGTCTTTTTATAAGAGAGAAATTACTGATAACAATGCTATTAACATGATGTCATCTCAAGAGACCTTTTTCATGGGCATCTGCTTGTCGCAAGGGAGGAGCTTGCGTACCCTTATGTTGAAGTTTCGAGCTATGCTAGTGATTCCGGTACGAGAGGTCTCAATTGAAGGGTCAGACCAAATTGTATCTATGAGTAAGATGGACACACTTGATATCAATCAATAATCCTAGGAGAACAACTCTAATTCCAAATTCAGGCAGATAGAGTTCGTTTAATTTCCATTCCGCTAAAAGAAGAATACTTTTAAACTTGTGACCTGAAAACTTTGCTTTTACCGCCGAAGTTTGCTAGGCCTTGGTGGATAGATCTTACGTGTAAAGCTTGCGTTAATCGCACGTTATATTATAATCGCATGTGCGCACGTTATTTTTGTATCAATTTGCAATAGATGCATTTCTCGACATGAATCCATTTGTGTTCCGCTTGCCTTCAAACGTATCCGTTTCCGTCGTTTCTTTTTTTTTTTTTTTGTCTTTTTGAAACTTTTTAATGTTATATATTGAAGAATTTTAAATCGATCGTTTCTTAATTTTAAAAAGATTACTTTTTGATTTATGCTTCCTTCATATAACTGACTTCCTTGTAAATAAATAAATACACATATGTATTCCTAACGTGACATCACATGAAATTTGAATCGCATAAATTTGAAATTTTGAATTTTACATTTGAACTGAAGAAAAATATTTAAAATGATAACAAAAATCTCATTGTTTATCTATCGTTTTTTTAAAAAAGAAAAAAAAAAGAAAAAAGGAACGAATCGCAAGCTTATTGTTTGAAGGGTGATAATAGTTTGATTGAAAAAATTGATATGATGATTAGATGTAAAAAAGAAAAAAAAAGTTAAGAATAAGAAAAAGGAAAGGAAATTACAGTAGTTTTTTCGAGTAGCAAGAATTTTCACTCTATGAGATATTTTGAATTGGTGTTTGTCGCTGATTTTCTTCAACTGTGACAAAGACTGAGGGTTCTTTTTGCCTCTTTAGTTGATAGTTCCCTCAAATCTCAAATCTTAAACTTGGATGATTAAACTTTTATTTCTCAAATTGGTAATACAGAAATGAATTCAACAATTACAATATCAATAAGACAAATTCAATGACAATATCAATAAGAGCAAAAGGGAGACCAATAAACCAAATGACGCCCGATATCGTCATCTATCCAACCGACCTGTTAAAATGCGTCTTTCCGAAATGACTTGACGCTCAGGACCTTCTTCCTGGAGTAGAGAGAACCTGGCACAGCTCTGAGATCAGATCTATGATCACAATTACCGCCTTTAATAGAGCACATAAGCGCAATGGGCTTGTACGCCCATTGCGCTTATGCAATACATTATAACAGCAGTATCAAAGCAATTATTGATTCATCACTGCTTCTCCTCGCGATTTCAACGGCAGTCTTGGTTTTATGAATAATCATATTTTTTCTAATTCAGCGGAAGAGTATGGTAACGTAATATAAAGTAAAATGTGATTACAGTTATTTCAGGAAATTCAAAGTAAAAAGTATTACCATCTTCTGTTTCCAACTTAACTTTTAGTAAGCAATTGAAATTTAGCGAAGTTTTTTTTATCGCAATGAAACCTTTGCCATCCCAATGAGCAATTTCTTAAAGTTTGCTTGAAATACTTTTTTTTTCTTCTAACTACCACAGAAGATTTTTTTTTTTTGTATCTGTGCAAACATCATTTCAGGCATTTTTTCTTGTTGATGTACCCGAAAGTCCGCTGGAAGCTGCTCAGAAGTACAAGAAGGGCCTCTCTGACGACCAGAGAAAGGCTTTGGCTGCATCAATTCAGGTTTTATTACTACTGTTGTTCCGCTGTTCAAAGCTGATTTAAATTTTATTCCATTCAAAGAATAGTTTTAAAACTAGTCCACCTATTCAATGAAATTTAAAGTAACCATTTCTTTTAATCGTCAGATTCCAATAATTATCTTATAGTAAAACTTCCTTTGCATCTCATTTTCTTTGCGAATTCATCAAACAAAGGGAAAATTCCGCAAAATCAT